TTGGTTCAACTTAATATTTTGTGCCTATATCATCATGAAGTGGATAGTACATCCTAACTCCATTGTTTGTGAGTTCTTCCTTTTCTTTGAGTATGGATCTTATATATATAACATGTAATCACTCATGCTTCTTGACAGTGGGAGTTTGTGTCTATCCATATCTGCTAACCTATGCATGTATGCAGGGGGAGCACTGCTCCTATCTTCTGGGAGTTTGTGTCTATCCATATCTGCTAACCTATGCATGTATGCAGGGGGAGCACTGCTCCTATCTTCTTTTCCCCATTTTGATGTTGTCAAAGGGGGAGAAAACTTGTGGTTTATTCATATGAATGTTAGATATTATATCTGTTTTGGTTTATTCACATAAATATTATATCTCATTTAATATATTGTTTGCCATCATCAAAAAGGGGGAGATTGTTGGCCCTTTGGTTTTGATGATGCTTTAGCAAACAATTTACAGCTAATTGGTTTTCTAGTGGTTGTGGCTTATTTTCCTTTTCAGGACATCAACACATGGTGAAAAGATCTCTATATTAAGAGTTAAAGATGCAAGTTTATGTGTGTCAATCACCTAGGTATAAGAGAACTTTATTTACATATATCGTATGACTTTATTTAAGCTTAGTATGTATACACAACACAAGTCTGTTTCAAATGATTCTTGGTTAAAACTTTATAGAATTGTTTTTTTGTTTCTTGTTTACATTTCTATTATACTTCATAATATTTATAATGTACTCAAGAAATATAAATACAATTTCATAAGTCATATTTTAATGAAAAACAGGTTTTCTGTACACTGTTCAAAAACAGTGAGCTTTTACAAAATAATATTGCATTTCCAACAATTCCTTTTTTTCAAACATGCTTATTCTCACATTTATAATCTTTGCCTAAAGTTTCATATTTGTTGGACAACATTTGCTATCTTATACATGCCTGAAAATCCATTATCAAAACTGCAGTTTTCATGATTATCTGTTTTCGGTCGACCGAGCATGTCGCTGCGGTCGACCGCAAATTATCCCGAGAGCATACTATGAGTTTCAGCCTTTGGCGATCGACCGGCCATGGATCTTCCGTCGACCGCAGATATAGCCGTTGCACTGTAACGGCTACTTCTCTGTTTTGTTTTCTAATGGGTTTTTGGTCTTTTTACTTGGGTTTTTACTGATGTATTGGGTTGTTATAAATACCCTACTGCTTTCAACACCTAAATTAACTCAAGAAAATTAATTACTTAAGTTTACAAAGTTTTCAAAGTGTTTAAGAGGTGTTTAGTGCCTTGTTTTCAAGCCTTGTTTCAAAAGAGCAGTTTTTCACAAAGAAGAAGCCTTGAATTCAAATTGAGGAATCCATCCTCATCATCATTTCTTCAGCTCTTCTTACTCATTGAGAAGTTTTTCTAAACTCTTCCTTATATAGCTTATTATTTCATTTTCATTTGATTAGCTATATTCATTGAGTTATATTATTTTCATTCACTATTATCACACACACTTTTTGAGCGAGGAGGACACGGGCTAGGTTCCTACACTTAGTGTGTAAAGTGTGTTTGTTGAGTGATTGTGTAGTGTGAGAGTTTTCGGTGAACTTGTAAACCGAGTGTGTAGAAGTTCCGGCTTTCAAACCGGATTGTGTTAGTGGATATCTCCTCGAAGTGAGGAGCGGAGACGTAGGTCGTGGGGACCGAACCTCGTGAACATATTGTGTGTTTGTGGTTTGGTTGGCGTACATATTATTCATCTTTATTGCTCATATTCATATCATATTTATTCTTGCAAGAACTAATTGATTAACATATCTTTTAATTGCTATTAATTGGGATTAGATTAGCATAAGACCCTAATCACCCCCCCAACCCCCCCCCCCCCCTCTAGGGTCTAACATGAGCATCAGCAGCAGCAGCGGTCGTGTCTTCTCGGCGCAGCACCTAGAGAGCTTCTATCGCTTCTCTATAAGCACTATAAACTTTGGTGCTTTCGATCTCAAAGTCCTTTAGGGTCGCCTCTCCCTGGGTGGTCCTAACCCTGGTACGCTCAGCAATGTCGTTATAAGCGTCCATTTTGGACTGCAAACGATGTTGTCGCTCACACAAATTCACGGTGACAACCTCCTACTCTGATATCCTCCCCTCTCGATCTTTGTACTCACGAGAGGCTTTGAGCTGAGTTTCGATTATGAGTGGTGCTACCTCATTATGAGGGACGATGAACACCAGTCCTTCCAAGCGATGCATAGCTTCCTCCAGGTGAATGAGCTTTTCCTCATAATGCCTAGCTAACCCAATATCCCCCATACGCTGGATGTCCTTCAGGCTATTGGCTATGAAGGGGTAGAAGTGGGAGAAAGTGCCCTACCCAACGCTAACAATAGAGATGACTTGTTTCATAGCATTCTCTAACCGTTGGATGATGCCCTGCATGGATCCGGGATCTAGAGAAGCAGTCCAGGATCCAGAGAAGCAGATTCCTGACTCGGAGCTATCACCGCAATAGGCTACACCTAGGGGAGAGGCCTGTCATCATCAATGAGTGGCTTCCATCCGGGACCCTTATATTGGCCAGGATAGGAAAGCAAGACTTGCACTTGGGCTGTGGGGAATTTGTCTGAGCGAACGCCAGAGCAGGGAACTCCTCTTCGTCATTAGATATTAGGGTGGGTTTGGACTCTGACATCGCCGGCCTCCTCTTACGAACAATCTCTTCATATCGGTCCGCTTCCTCTCTAGAGAGAAGTCTCTTCCCAGAGGATCTTAGGTTGCGAGGCCTAGCGACCGGTGCCTTCCCTCGAGCTACGAAATACAACAAGAGAAAATTAGAAACTTTGTCAAAACAATAAAATAAATCAGAGTCATCAAAACAGGCGAGCTAACAAAGCTCGTCTGACAAGCTGAGCCCGCCTGATAAGGCAGAAGCTCGCCTAACAAGGCAAGAGCTCGCCTGAGAGCTAAGCTCGTCGGAATGGCAGAACCTCACCTAGTCAGGCGAAGCTCACCATGAGATGAACAGGAGTATGTTCATCTTTGATTCATAGCCCTTAACTTACCATGACGAGGCTGATCCACACCGGAAGTGGCTATAGCGGCACAGCTGAAGAAGAGGCTGTCCTCCTCCCCTTAGAAGCAACTTTCTTAGGGGCCATTTCAAGTTTGAGGGAGAATGAAGACAAGAGCTCTGGATTTCTTCAAGAACTTAAACAAAATAGGTCGATAGCACAGTAACCTCCTAGTGAAGGAGAAGAGCGTAAAATATATAGGCGAAGACTTTACGATCAAGATCCGTCAGCTCTGTGAAGCGAACGATTCAAATCGCTTGTAGGCCGTTCGATTCGGCAGTTTGAATCGAACGACCACGATCAAGACGGGACATTTGGAATTCCGCATGAATGACCAAGATCTAGTGGTTCAAGCATGATCTCTCATCGAATCGATGGTTGAGATCAAGGGCGCCATCAAATCCGTGGCTTAGAGCGAGCACGTGAAGACAAGGCGTCGCCTTAGCTGGCAAGCGTAGGAACTCGCCCGCGGACACGCGGCTAGCCCTCATGAGCTTGAATCTCGCCCGCAGGGATCCAACTCGAACAGC